GATTTTTGAATAAGTAAAAAAATACTTTACTCCATATATCGACGTTTCAGCTCCTCTTGGGAGCTTTCATCAGGACAGCATACAAAATATAAATGAAACAGATTTAGCTTAAATAAGAACATAGGTCCAATTAGTACTCACATTTCAGGTGTGTTGATAAAGTAAACTCCCTTCCTCATAAGCATCCGCCCAAATAGAATTCGCGGCCGGCAATTTCCCACTTCCGCATACAAGATCATGTGATGTGCGTAACGTCATTACGCATGTATCGTTGCCATGGGGATCGAGACGCCAACTGCGTCTAACAAAACTCCCTTCAGTTACTTCCTGAATAGCCGCGTTACCTGTAGTCATGGTAACGCCGAGCACATGCGCATCCGTTTTAGAGATTCGCCGATCACTATATCTGTCCTTCACCTTAGTAGACATATCGGATATAGCCTCTATTTGCACTAGCATTAAAGAAGGAGGAGGGAAAGGTATCAACATGCAAATCTATCACCTGCAATATCACAAGGGACACATAATAATTCCAAAGATTAATAATTCTATCCACCATTGTACTAGTGCATAAGCTATATTATCAGGGATCCCACATCCAAAAGAGTACTCATAGTGAAAAAATCTGTGCTAGAAGAAACATGCCATAAAAATCTTAATCCTAGTATGGTAATGTGGAATTAAAGAAATCCACAACCAATATATATATATATGTATACTATCATAATTTTGATCATGTATAGACATCCTCAAAGGTGTATCCTATTTAGTGTAACAAACAGATGATAAAATGATCATCTATCCAAACATTGGTTAAAAAGTGCTTGTGCATAATTCTAGTGCATAACCACACTATACTATACAGTCAATGTGAATGATTAAAGTGAGACAATATTGATAATTAAAGTGAAACAGTGCTTATAATCCAAACTTACATTTTCAACTATAGACAATATCACCATTAAAATGGGGTATGAATAGGGGGGGAAATCCTCTATACTATTAATAATAAGCCCTAAATTAGGAAAAAATTATGCTACATAAAAATACCAAAACAACCTGAAATGGAAGCACCAATTGCTAAAAGACCCAAAGCATGACAAGTTTTTAACATTACATATAAACAAAACAATAAAGCATATTTAAAAAGTAGAGGAATCGAAATGATGATAACGGGGGCTAACATTGAATAGGCAGGACCACATTATATTCCATCTGTCATCCTACTAATTCTCACCCCCTTATCATAATCACAGGAAAGCAATAAATGACAGTTTTTCATTTAATCCATGTGGGGCTAATGTGCCCAATTTTTTGATCCACCAAGTCTCTCTTTGTAATAGACGTTCTTGTCTATTACCACCTCTTCTGGAGATTGGAACATGGTCTATCGCCACACATTTCAAAGATGTGAGGGGATGACCTTTTTCCAAGAATTGTCGGGCAACTGGTTTATCCGTCTTGTTGTCCCTATATGCCAGTCTAATGCTGGACCTGTGTCCTCTTATCCTCTCACAGAGAGCAGTCTCTGTCTTCCCGACATAGTTAAGCCCATAGGGACAGGACAACTTATAAATTACGAAGTCAGTCCGACAATTAATTCTGTGTTGAATTTTAAATATTTGCCCCATATGTGGGTGATTGAAGCTTTTACAGGGGATAAGATGACCACAGGTTACACAACCTAAGCATCTTACACATCCATTATTGATATTACTCTTATTCTCCGGAAGGTAACTTCGGATTGGATCAGTCTGAACCAGAAGATCACGCAAGCTTTTACTGTTTTTAAAAGAGAACAGTGGCCTATTTCGGAAGCTCTCAGGAAGACTTGTATCATTCTCCATAAGACGCCAATTCGTCTTAATTTCCTGGCAAATTTGAGTGGTAAATGCATTATATGTCAATGGAAACGGAATACGGTCCTTATTATTCCGAGGTCGTGTCACTCCTCCAGCCATATGGTCCCTAGCTTTTCTGAGTGCTTTATCAAGTATCACTCGTGTGTATCCTCTCTGTATGAATTTATTATACATTTGCTGTATTTGTTCCTCGCATCGACTGATATCCGAATTGTTTCTTATAACTCTTAGAAACTGGGAGAACGGCAATGAATCCTTAACATGTTTGGGATGGGCACTTTCATAATGGAGCAAGGTATTTCGATCAGTTGGTTTTGTATGCATTTGATACTCAACTTTCCCTTGTTCCAATCGAATCTCCAGATCCAGGAACTGTGTCTGATGATGGTGAATATGTGATGTGACAAAAATGGGGGTATCTGATTCATTAATGTCTTCCACTAATTCTTGTGCTTCTTCCATCGACCCCCTCCATAGGATCAGTATGTCGTCTATGTACCGGAAGTACTTCAGAATGAGTTTTGAATGTTTCTTGAAGATATGTTCTTTCTCAAACTGGTACATGTACGAATTGGCATACATGGGAGCCATTGCCGCTCCCATAGATGTCCCCGCTTTTTGTAAATACCACTTTGTTTCAAATCTGAAATAATTATTTCTGAGAGCCAAAGATAATAATTCAAGAGTATATTCAATGGGGGGTCCATGATAATATTCCGTTTCTAAGAGTAATTCCCGCATCGCTTCTATTCCCCCCTCATGTGGTATTACTGTATACAAACTCGAGACATCTAAAGTGATCAAAATAACTGGTTCCTCCATATTTCCCAATTTCTTGAGCTCCTCTATTAATTGTGCCGTATCCTTTAAACATGTTGGGATTGCATTAACTGGTAGTTTAAACAAAAAGTCTAAATATTTCGCTATCGGCTCCAATATTCCGTCCACTGCTGAGACAATCGGACGTCCGGGAGGCTTCAAGGCATCTTTATGAATTTTTGGGAGCGTGTATATAACAGGAGTCCGTGGGTTACTTTTATTTAGAAATTGAAATAATTGTGTATCAATATATCCTGCTCTTAACCCAAAGGAGAGAGTTTCATGTATTTTATGTGCTATCTCCATAGTTGGATCTCCCTTCAAGATTTGGTAAGTATTCACATCATCCAGTTGTCTATAAATTTCCAATGCGTAGTCCCTATAGTTTTGTATCACTATTCCCCCTCCCTTATCCGCCGGTCGTATTGTTATAGTTGCGTCTTGTGATAGTTTCTGTATCATACTCCTCTGTTCCTTAGAGAGATTAGAGTGCCTTGGATGTTTCTTAGAAAGAATATTCTCCGTTTTTGATTTCACTGTTGTTAAGAAAGTCTTGATTGTAGAGTGACACAGAGGTGGATCAAACTTACTAGGGTTTTTAAATCTGTATCCCTGTTGTTGTACCTGATCCAATGTTTGGTCCTTTTTGGTTTTATTAAAGAAGTCTTTGAGCCTGAGACTCCTCACAAATTTGAAAAATTCCACATCCCATTGAAAACTGTTAGCCATTGTAGTAGGGATAAATGAAAGACCCTTATTCAGAATATCAATCTCCCCTGTAGATAATTCCCTGTCATCAGGAAAGTCCCTTAGGAGGACTGAAACGTTGAGCTGTCTACAATTTTAATTTTTATGGATTAAACTTCTTATGTTTTAACCTCTACTAAACCCGTGAGTGCTGGTCATATTTGGAATATGGATCTTTATCTTTTCCCTGGACTACAAGCACCCGGTATGTAACGTTGGAGCCTGAGTGCAAGGAAACAGTGTATTTATATATATATATATATATATATATATATATATATATATATATGTTTATATCACACGCAAACACTTTTAAGTCTGTGATATGAGAATGTGAAGTACTAATCCAAACAGACAGCATAAACAAACAAAAAAGGTATACAGACACAGACAGTCCTACACAAAACACACAAAGTAGTAGTAGTGTAGTACCCTCTGGCATTATTGGAATGATGCAGACAAATGTTCTACTCATAAAATCTCTGAAAAGCGAGGCCTTGACCAATTTATTATGTTTCTTCAAAGTCTTGGTATAATGCTATAATGGACACAGAGTGGGAGAGAACATGCTTTTGTTGCAAGAAGAAAATGCCAATAGTGCAGGATGCTAACAGTTAAATAGTAATAACTCATTTATTTTAATGTAACTTAAAAGCATAACAACAAGTGCATATCAAATAGTGTGAAAGAGAATATTATGGGGACAGCTAAGGCTGGTATTTAACCATAGATAGTGCATAAAAAAATCTGCCTGGACCTGGACTGTGCTAGAAACAAAATTGTGATGGCGAAACAGAGCCCTAAAATAGGTACGGTCCCACTGAAATTGGGACAGTAGGGAGATATGTTGTTCTTTTTTTTTTTCTTTTATACTTCTTTAAGCTGTATGCAATGTTGTGATGGGGGGAGGGACACTATAGTCACCAAAAGAGATTTAGTTTAATGAAGTGGTTTTTGTGTATAGATCATGCCTCTGAAGTTTCCCTGTTCAATTCACTGCCATTTAGGAGTTAAATAACTTTTGTTTCTGTTTATGCAGCCCTAGCCAAACCTCACCTGGCTGTGACTCACACAGATTACATGAAAACAAAATGGTTTCATCTTCAATCAAAAGTAACTTAATTTAAAAGTTTTTATCTGTTGCTCTGTAATTTGAACTTTAATTACATACAAGAGGCACCTGCAGAATATACAAAAATTCTAAATTAAACAGAATTTGCAATAAAGGAAGTGTAAATATTGGATGACTCTTTACAGGAAGTGTTAAGGAAGGCCATGGAAGTTAGACGCCGGGAGGTGTGCCTATGGCTGCATAAATAAAGCGATTTAACTCCTAACTGGCAGAGAATTTAGCACTGAGTCAGTAAGGGCATGATCTATACTCCAAAACTGCTTCATTAAGCTAAAGTTATTCTGGTGACTATAGTGCCCCTTATTTTTGTTGTATAGGAAAAAAACTTAAATCAAAACTTTAATTAGAATTAAAAATCTACCTATACTAAAATTTGTAAATTCGATACTACAATGTTTGCTTTAAATCGCAGGGTTCATTACTGAGTTCTGCTCATATAAGGAAGCTACTAAGCTTAAAAGCATAATTTTCATTCTATAGCTATGATTACCCCTTAAATGCCTGTACTGTGGAGCTTACTGACCATTTTTGGAAGTACCTTATTAGCTTATTAGCTACTGTATAAAACTGGTGGTGGAACTACAATGATCTGGATCCAATGCTCTGAAGCCTCTCAGGTTAGCACTGTTATGGGCAGAGGGAATAATAGCTTTCCCCTTTGCTGTTTTTGATTGAGAAGATGAACTAAAATCTGAATTAAAGTCTCTTTATATGTTATATAGAATAGAAACTATGTCAACAAAGTTTCATCCGTGTAATTATACAGGGAGTGCAGAATTATTAGGCAAGTTGTATTTTTGAGGATTAATTTTATTATTGAACAACAACCATGTTCTCAATGAACCCAAAAAACTCATTAATATCAAAGTTGAATATTTTTGGAAGTAGTTTTTAGTTTGTTTTTAGTTTTAGCTAATTTAAGGGGAAATCTGTGTGTGCAGGTGACTATTACTGTGCATAATTATTAGGCAACTTAACAAAAAACAAATATATACCCATTTCAATTATTTATTATTACCAGTGAAACCAATATAACATCTCAACATTCACAAATATACATTTCTGACATTCAAAAACAAAACAAAAACAATCAGTGACCAATATAGCCACCTTTCTTTGCAAGGACACTCAAAAGCCTGCCATCCATGGATTCTGTCAGTGTTTTGATCTGTTCACCATCAACATTGCGTGCAGCAGCAACACAGCCTCCCAGACACTGTTCAGAGAGGTGTACTGTTTTCCCTCCTTGTAAATCTCACATTTGATGATGGACCACAGGTTCTCAATGGGGTTCAGATCAGGTGAACAAGGAGGCCATGTCATTAGATTTCCTTCTTTTATACCCTTTCTTGCCAGCCACGCTGTGGAGTACTTAGACGCGTGTGATGGAGCATTGTCCTGCATGAAAATCATGTTTTTCTTGAAGGATGCAGACTTCTTCCTGTACCACTGCTTGAAAAAGGTGTCTTCCAGGAACTGGCAGTAGGACTGGGAGTTGAGCTTGACTCCATCCTCAACCCGAAAAGGCCCCACAAGCTCATCTTTGATGATACCAGCCCAAACCAGTACTCCACCTCCACCTTGCTGGCGTCTGAGTGGGACTGGAGCTCTCTGCCCTTTACCAATCCAGCCACGGGCCCATCCATCTGGCCCATCAAGACTCACTCTCATTTCATCAGTCCATAAAACCTTAGAAAAATCAGTCTTGAGATATTTCTTGGCCCAGTCTTGACGTTTCAGCTTGTGTGTCTTGTTCAGTGGTGGTCGTCTTTCAGCCTTTCTTACCTTGGCCATGTCTCTGAGTATTGCACACCTTGTGCTTTTAGGCACTCCAGTGATGTTGCAGCTCTGAAATATGGCCAAACTGGTGGCAAGTGGCATCGTGGCAGCTGCACGCTTGACTTTTCTCAGTTCATGGGCAGTTATTTTGCCTTGGTTTTTCCACACGCTTCTTGCGACCCTGTTGACTATTTTGAATGAAACGCTTGATTGTTCGATGATCACGCTTCAGAAGCTTTGCAATTTTAAAAGTGCTGCATCCCTCTGCAAGATATCTCACTATTTTTTACTTTTCTGAGCCTGTCAAGTCCTTCTTTTGACCCATTTTGCCAAAGGAAGGGAAGTTGCCTAATAATTATGCACACCTGATATAGGGTGTTGATGTCATTAGACCACACCCCTTCTCATTACAGAGATGCACATCACCTAATATGCTTAATTGGTAGTAGGCTTTCGAGCCTATACAGCTTGGAGTAAGACAACATGCATAAAGAGGATTATGTGGTCAAAATACTCATTTGCCTAATAATTCTGCACTCCCTGTAGCAACTGGAATAAAGTCGATGAAACAAAAATCTACAGCAAACTAATGTTTTGATTTTTTTTTTTGCAGATGATATGCCGAGTGACAGAAGTAAACATAATTTATTGAACACCCAGTTTAATTCCAATTATCATATCAATACATATATGTTTTGAAATAAATAGTTTTGTGTTGGAGAGATAGCAAACAATAGTATTTGGTCAAAGGTCAACAAGGCATGCACTCCAGGACTCATTCATGTACACAGATACACAATAGCTTAATAAAGTGTATCTTCTGTACATGAATGAGTCCTGGAGTACATACCTTGTAATCCCAGGTGACGATATGCTTCCAGAGTATATTGTTTCCTCTTCGGAAAAGCAATATTGGGCACTAGGATAAATATTTGAGAACACAAATTGAGGGGGAATCAAAGCCAAACAGGTGAAACATTTGTGGTAGATTTACATAGCAGGGTAAAGTAACATGGTAGGAACTAAATATAGCAGAGGGGGCATTAAATTTAATCTGTGGTAGTATGAGATATATTATCGCATGCCAAAATTACAAATTAAATTTTACATGGACAAATATAAAAAAATGCGTATAGGTTGTGTTACCATTATAATACACGTATTCCAACATGATGTTGTAACTAAACATGTACCTAATATTAACAGAAATTGAAATACTTACATGATGGTTTGACTTAAATTGAAGCTTACATTTATATAGTGAGATTCTATTGTTCCAGGGATGGAGATGTAAAATAATAGATGAAATTAGCATATTTTAATTCCTTTTTTGTTGGACTAACTGAATTTTGACTTTTTCAAGTCTAATGTATAAAAAGATACTGATTTCATCTGTTAATTCTTTCATCTGTTACTATATATATATGTATATATATAGTAATTGGATATATATGTATGTGTGTGTGTTGGAAATGTATTTCTATGATGATTTCAGTCATAAAAGAATACTTTGCTTATATTAAACTAAATATTTCTGTACTCTTTTGTATTTTACAGTTCATCGCTTTTGCTTCCTTGTTCTTCATCCTAGTATCAATAACAACCTTTTGCCTGGAAACTCATGAAGCATTTAATACCATTATTAACAGAACAGAACTAACAAATAATGGAACAGAAATAGTGCCATTAATTGAAATTGAGACCGACCCTGCCCTGACATACGTCGAAGGAGTTTGTGTGGCATGGTTTACATTTGAATTTTTAGTTCGTATCACCTTCTCCCCTGACAAACTTGAATTCATCAAGAATCTTTTAAACATTATAGATTTTGTGGCAATTTTGCCATTTTACTTAGAGGTTGGACTGAGCGGGCTGTCATCCAAAGCTGCTAAGGATGTACTCGGGTTCCTTAGGGTTGTCAGATTTGTTCGTATACTTCGAATTTTCAAGTTGACCCGTCATTTTGTAGGACTAAGGGTGCTGGGGCACACTCTTCGAGCTAGTACTAATGAATTTTTGCTTCTCATAATATTTTTGGCTCTAGGAGTCTTGATTTTTGCCACAATGATATATTATGCAGAGCGAATTGGTGCCAATCCCGGTGATCCATCAGCGAGTAATCACACTCAGTTCAAAAACATTCCAATTGGATTCTGGTGGGCTGTGGTTACTATGACTACACTGGGCTATGGGGACATGTATCCTAAGACTTGGTCAGGGATGTTAGTAGGTGCACTGTGTGCGTTGGCTGGCGTTCTTACAATTGCAATGCCTGTGCCAGTCATTGTTAACAATTTTGGAATGTACTACTCACTTGCTATGGCAAAACAGAAGCTTCCAAGAAAAAGAAAAAAATACATTCCCCATGTGGCTCAAGCTGGTTCTCCTACTTTCTACAAGATGGATTTGAATATGGGATGTAACAGTACACAAGTGGATGCTTGCCTTGGCAAAGACAACAGGCTGATGGAACATAACATGTCAGGTAAAGTAGAATGGAACACAAACTTGTTTCACCCAGGAGCTAATGTCACATTCCAATGTTCTTTTGAAGCAACATAATAGATCATTTTTAGATTTTTGAATAATTTACTTTTGTCGCAGTCTCAAATTACTTTTAAGCAGTTTACAGTTTTTTCAAAGATCATCTTGCTTCTTAAATGGCAGTAGGGAACTAGAATAGTTGCAGTAGCATAATTGTGGCAACTTAGACATCATTGTGTGTGCTTATAAAAAAAACACATAATTATGCTATACATTATCTACCAACAAAAACTTAAAAACAAGATACATACACCAAAACATGAAAATAAAATAATAATTTAATAATTTCTCACTATTGCTGTGATAAATGCACTTCATCCATTTTGGTCCAAAGTCATTTCCATTGGGTAGTCAGTAAAAAAAAACTCTTGCTTCCTGTGATTTATGCACTGCCTGACATATAATTTGCATTCTTACATGGACAGTACAAATATGATGTAGACATGGTTGAAATGAAAAAGATTTATTTGAGGATATAATTTAAAATTAACTTGACTTCCAAACTTATAGAGCAAGGTTGTCCCATCCACCTAGTATTGAGATATATTTATCACCTTTTATATGTTAAATTTATATATGTGTATATATATATATATATATATATATATATATAGTTTGTATATTGTATTCTTGTAATAGTGTATCCTATTGTAACAATGCAATGTTTTGTGGACCCAGGACATACTGGAAAACAAGACAAACCTCAATGTATCCATCCTGGTAAAATATTTTATAAATAAATATATTTCCAAGAAATCCCACTAGTTGGTTGGCAAAGAAATAAAGCATTGATCCATAGTTAAGTAACAATTAGGACCAGACAGATCTGCTGTATAGCTGGTATAATGTTTCAGATACTTGTCTTGAGCCATTCGACTTTTAAATGACTTGCATTTTCCCCAAATCAAACGTTTTAAGGCTCAACATTATTTGTATCTAACTCTAAAAAACTTAAACCCATCTTTGTATGAGTTTGATAGAGTACATAAACATATACTGGAAGGGTAACAAATGAAGAACACTGTATGATCCTCATTCACACACCCAATACATTGCCTCCTAATTGTGTATAGCTGATTTACAACATCATCAAGCTGTTATAAATATATGTATTGCTTAAATGTTTACATTTCCTTTTTGGTGTCTTTTCTTTACGAACGTGGGAATCTGTATGTTGCTCTCCTAAACATTACCAGGTGAAGACAGTTCAGGAAGTGACCAACCACTCTCACCTGGAGAACGACATCCAATTAGACGTTCTAGCTCTAGAGATAAAAGTCGAAGGGCAGGAACTTGTTTTCTGCTGACCACATCAGATTACGCATGTAGCAGTGATGGAGGGATACGGAAAGGTATGAACTTTTATTTATTTATTTTAGCTCACAAAACTACAGGTGAGATTAAATTGTTAAAGTGATTTTAGTTCATAGTTCAGAATGAGGGTAAAATTTATCAAGCTAATCAAAAGAATAAGATACCCAAGAGTTTACTTCTTGGGATTTATACACCAGTGTAGACACTCCACTAGTGACCAAAGGGCTTAACCCTAATAGTAATAACACAGGAAAGATTCACCTAATCCACAATAAAGTGGACAAGGTAAAAACTGGAAAAATTTAATCAGTATCCTGAGGTAAATGGGATCACAGTCCACTCTGCATGCACCAATACATAGACAATCCACATATATCCCCAGTGCAAGTTAAATATACTAGCAGTGTAAGCCTACTCCTCTACCTAGTATAGATAATTGAGACACGATTGGATTATCCAGACAGGTGATTAAAATATTAATATACAAGCTTTATTAATTAGGCTTATTTGTAGCACTTTTGATAATCCTATGTAGGTATGTAGTGCACTGGAAAATAAGCCAGTGTACCAAGGTAGACAAGGGGTTAAACCATAGTATTAGTGTTACAAAACAGGGATTAACTGGAGGTTAAACCACAGTTCTGTCTATATAAAGCAGCAAGTTAATAATACCTTTGTTAGCCCTTGGTAGGTAAATAGTGCAGTGGAAAAGTATACCGGTGTACCCAGGTAGACAAGTGGTTAAACCATGGTCTAAGTGTTAAGTAACAGAGATTGGCTAAAGGTTAGACCATAGTACTACCCAAGTGAAGCATGAATCAATATAGATTGGATAATAGAGTACTATAGTATATTCAGTACTATAGTATATCCAGTTTTTACCTCATGCACTTTATTATGGATTAGGTGAATCTTTCCTGTGTTAATATTTATCAAGCTGTTTAGTACTGAAAATCCACATCGATTTTTTGGGTTGTTTATTTTAAACTATATATTGGGTTTGTTGTAAAAGTCTACAATATACTTTGAGGTACATTTAGTGAGATGAACATTGGAGTCATATGAACAGAACTGGCCTGTATATACCATATATCAAAGAAATCTCGGAAATGGGAGTCCACTGCATCGAGAACATAGGTATTTTGAAAGTTTGAGTAGCATAACCCTAAGCTCCTCATCTTAAATCCTCCAAACCCCAAAAGTCACTTCACCTTATGCCATCCTAGCTCTACCTACCCTTAATGTTATAGGTGCCCTAACTCTTACTTCACCCTATCCTTATCCTAACCTCCCCCTTAGTGGCATCATTCTGAACATTGTTGTTAATTCCAATGCAATGCCACTTGGTTCTTTTGAACTCAATACATTATTGTGTTACAAAGCTGCTTTGTCTTACAAAGTTTTAAATGAGGAAATATCACAGAGCAAAACTTCTGTGTATTCTCCATGAAAACTTGTTGCTATAAATTAAAACAAGAATACTTTTATTCCCTGAATATTCCAGTTAAATCACTCTAGTGTGTCAATTTATGAATATATCAGGAATACAGCTGTAGGCTCAATATCATGAAGAAAGGAATGATAAGGGAGGATAACAATAGTATAATTCCGTTGTGATGTTGTGGGAGGCGGGGAGGTGAGCAGTGCCTGGAAGACCCAGCTCTGGCAAAAAAATAGGTAAACATTGTTTTTGAAATTTTAATTCACCGGGCTGGGGGTACCTGAAAAAGAATAGCGACAGGGACACTATAACATTAGGAATACAGATATGTATTCTTCAGTGTTCCTTTAAGACAAGACAGATTTGTATTCCATGATGTTCCTTTAGGCTTTGTTTAACATTATTAGACATGAAGTCCAATACCACCTGGAAGTTTAACATACCTATTTTAACTTGTACATGGAGTATGTAATTTAAGTATGGCCATTTTATTCATAATAAATAATATTTCAATTACTAGGATACATAGTTTATACACGATCGAAACACATCAATTATTACCATTTCACAAATTTGCAAAGTTTGATAAATGTTCCCTTAGATATATATTCATGAATGATTGCTGTTCAATGTATTGTTTAGCTTTAATCTTTATCTTCCATTCATTTCCAAAAGAAGTTTGCTAATAAGCGGCTTGGCATTGTTTGTGGCAGTCTATCCATTTGCGTCCCATATGTTCATTTATTTCGTCTTTTTTTTTTTTTTGTCTAACTGTCTTTAAGTGTTTAATCTGCACTTCAGAAATAAAACAAATTATAAGAAAAAATATAAATCCCCACTTTACTATGTTACTTAAAATATATGTTTTGCAAAGTTGAGGTCAAATAACATTATTTAAAATTCTTTAAAATCAGGATTTTTATTTATTTTTTGGTACCCATTAAAAAAAAACTACAGTATATAGATTACTCTGTATCAAACAGATTATTTTATCTGCAATTAAATGGCAATTACCATAGGTAAAAGCTAATTAATCCTTCTATTTGCTTAGGCAAAAGTTCCATATATTAATATAAAAACTGTACATTTGGTTAAACAAAATCACAATGTATAAATCACTATAATTGCTTAAATATCATCCATCTGGTCTTCTATATATTGTGATCGGCTGAGATTACCTCTCTCAAATCATAGTACATTAGCTCAGAGAAAGTAAACGGCTTATGTTGACATCAAAAGACATCTAGGAATAGTCTAAAAATGGATACGTCTTCTTTTAATTATTTTAATAAAAAACAGGACAACTCTGCCTTATTCTTAATAACTAGAGGTGAGGTGTGGTAGGTGTCATTTTTTATTATTTAATATATAGAGAGTTAAAATAATTAGTGGTACGTTAATTTAATGTTTGCTTCAAGTGACTAGGAAATGTGGGATCTTGGTTACTGTGTATCTTTGGTAGGGTATGTTGGTCTTTCTTGATTGTATTTGTATTCTGTATGGAATTAGGAGGGAATAGTCTTTTAACAGTTACATATCAGCAATCTTTACCTACTAGTCAGCAATAATTATCTTACAATGACATTCCAGACTATTAGAGCATCCAGTTGTTTTGTACAATGCCATGCTCAGAATTCCACTTAGCACTTTTCATTCAAACAAATCAGTGTCCTCAATTTCCTACTTTCACAGCTTCTTAATATTCAGTGAATGGGAGACACTAAATTGGCCTATTTTCATACGTGTACTCTGCTTTATCTTTTTTTATTTTCCCTACCTTACAATGGCTTTTGGGAACCAAGCATATCACTCAATTAAAACAAAGAAAGGGAAAGGCGTTAGTGAGATATGTCAGACAATTCTTAGTTAAAAATAATTTCTCTAAAAAATCAATGCACAAAAAAATGAATTGCACTGCTATATCTATAGGAATCTCTCCTAACACTCTCATCATGAAAATAAACAACCAGGTGTTGTAAGGTGGAACTTCATAACAGTCCCTCCAATAAAACCCATAAACTCTGTAGGTTTAATTGATAAAATGATTTCATCATTCATGTTTTTTTTTAATAAATATGGGGTTTAACATGATATATTCTGCTGCAAAAGTAGCAAAACAAACTAAGGTCATTTTTTTGAATTAACATTTTAGATTTATTTATGATTATATGACCTCCACAACACAATTTCAAATGGTTATAAATATACCCTGAAGTGTGCCTTTAATGTCTTTAATAGGGTATTTGGTGGGTATTAGGCTTTTGAAGCCTTATCACCCATCTCCCTCATGCATCATCTGCTTTTCACACTAAGCCCATGTCAGGAAATACTATGACCCAACATGCAGTGTCTAAGTAAAATACAAGTAAAATAAAATTATATATGGAATATATGTATTACCGAACCTTAGAGTGGCCGGACTTAACATAAATATAGAATGGTCAGAGATAAATCAAGATCATGGGTACAGATTGAGAAAAGTACAAAAGACAGGCATATAGGTCAAGGATTACAGAAAGGAGAATAGTCAAGAACAAGCCAAAGTCTGACTAACCAACATAAAATACAAGATAAATGCACTCTCTGATTACCAGTAAATGGAAACCATGACAGGGCACGGATAAAAACCTAAAATTAGTCTAACTAGCACTAGAATGGCAGGGAATGGCCAAAAATGATCTTGTGATGCCAAAACGTGCGTGCACGGGCATCGATGATGCAATGAGACACACACGTCTGTGCCAATATTATCATATTTGGAGACAGAGCTATACATGGGCTCTGTATTGCAGCAGACGGCATCTGTCAAATGCCACATGGACCGGGAGCTCTATGGAAGGTGGACCGGATCGCATTAGCTGTGAGTTGAGTTATGTCTGGGACCAAAGCTAGCATTACATTGCTGATCGGTCACGGCCACATGATCGCGCCGATCTGACACTGTGACATCTTGCAAGAAAAAATCGTAGATGAGCATGGAAACTCTGGAAAGCTTTCAAGTAGTAATAGAAGGTGTCCACTAGATGTTTTGCTGCAGCTCTTAGTAGACACTATTGGAAACATTTGAGTTGAAATTAAATGGTTTTAATGGGGCTTTTACTGCAACTCTTGGAAACAGCTCACAGGGAGGTGCACATCCAAAATCCTGATACCTAAATTATTTATATGACAGTCTATCTGAACTAAATGACTGGTTGGGAATAACATTTTATAGTTTTATAGCTATAGTGTTGGCTACCAGTGTAGTATATATTTAAATAAACCATAATAAAAGTAGTTGTCTAACAATTATGTTATTTTAGTGAACTACCATAGTATTAACTAGATTGGCTCTTCATTCTTAATTTTTTTTCTAGTGTTTTTAATGGTTGTTTTTAAATCTTGTTAATTTGAATTTGGTAGTAAAATTTAAAACATACAGCTTTTGATATTACTACACCAATTCATTCCCTAGACTTTAAGAAAATAAATTATAATTTTGGCACATATAGAATAGGTTAAAAGCTTGTATGCAACACATGTGACAACCAATGAAATCACACATCAGTGATTCATCAAATGTACTTTAGTCTTACAATCCCTGATGCCAATTTCTCAATTACAAAAATTTATTTTGGATTGTGAAGAATTAAGCTAAATTTAAAGACCTACAGATTACTATAAAAGCTTGGAAGATCTTGACTAATAAATTAATGTCTCAAAACATTAGGATGGGAAGAAATTTCAAGACCTTGGAATGGTAAAGCTAATATAAATGTAAATATAATTCTAGAGGGTACATGGAGAACACAGTTAAAATGTTACTTCAACCACCATGACCATGTCTTCTTTTTGGAGTTCTCATGGTGGTAGGAGTCTGGATGTGCAGTGTTTCAGCTTGAAACAATGCACATCCATAGTAATTTGCACTTGTGTGCTGGAGGCTAGTTGCTCACCTACCACACATGACTTTGTTCTATTTGTGTGTCTTCTTAAGCCTCCAATGACTACTTAAGCAAATGCTTTTAAAAACAATTAGGTCTATAACAATTTAAAGAATGATGTATGTATAACATATTTTGTCTGTGCAGATTCCCTGGAGGACTGGTATCTCACCACTGGCATTTTAAATACAGTACTTCCATCTCAATTGCTATGAAATCAATTTTTCTTTTGCTGTCTAAGGTCAAATTGGGCAAATGATAGTTATACTCTGGAATTCATGCGGAAAAACAGGAAATTATCTGAGTGATGCATAGCACTTATATATATTTTTACTCTCCTTCCCAATGCTTGAAATATACAGAAACATAGATTTAATTAAATTGTTAATATGTTTACTATTTTAAATACATGTTATTGGTAATTCTGTTATATATTTGTGACTGTACATCATCATCATCACAGAAATACAATAATCATATAAACAAATATTATTCAATAAACATGCGTTAGGTGAGATAACAAGTTGCAAAATATAAACCAGAATTGAAGAGCAAAAAAGCCTGATAATTTATTTCTATTACAGTTATTTTCCTAAATTTCCCCAGGTGGTTATTAACACATTGTACCTTTATTAAAAAAGTTACATGGCCAAACCCTATTCCTCAAAACAATCATGAGACAGCTCTTTTTGTATTATTATTGATATTTATATATCACCAAATTATTCCACAGCACTTTAGAATATTATACAAGAGGGGTATTTAACTATAAATTAGAAAATTACAAAATGTTACAGGAACAATAAGTTGACAAGAACCCTGCTCAAATGAGCTTGAAATTATTGTGGAATTTTTGAGAACCTACATTTGCCAAAATTCAATTAGGTTCTACTAACATATATGAACAAATAATTTTATCATTGCAAATAGTTAATAAAATAAAATAATAAAAATAAGTCATAAATTAGTTTGAATGAAAAAAAAGAAAAACTTTGATTAATTAGTAATTAAATCTATGGTTCTACAATGTATATGTAAAATACATTAAAATGATATAATGACATGCTATTGATTAAAACACAATATCTCTGTAGCAGCTCTGAATGAATCACATAACTATTCGGTATCTATATGGTTATTTACTTAAAATTATCTTTTATGGAAACATGTAACTTTTTTTTTCTTTACACAACACCCAGGAAAAAAGCATTAAAGTGACTAAAGAGGTTAACCATATGTGTTTGAAGGTTCTAAAAAAATACAAAAGGACTTTATTGTCCCCTAAAGAGCTTCAGGAATTATATGTTTAAAGGAAAATAATCAAATTAGATCAAATAAAATAAAAAGAAATTAGTGTACTTCAGTATAATAATACATCACATATAGGAATTTCTGTGAGATGGTTGCTTAAAATAAAAAAAGACAATAAAAGTATATAAATATATAGAAAATTAAGAAACACAATAGCAATAACATAGTAGGAAATTGCCACTTCCAAGCCATGGTTTCCAAATGTTAATAAATATGTTTGAGCAATTTTCTGATATTTAAAAAAAGTAAAATCTAATTTATAGATCATTTGAATGCAAGCTATGTCAACATATTAAAAAATGTGACTACATATGTATCTATATAACTATCTATGGATTTATGTTTATGGTGTTGATTTAAGGTTAAACAGATTTAAGTTGCTTGATTATGCTTTCAAGACACACACACACATTACTACAAGTATTTGCATAACTATATTACCTATTTGTTTTTATCAAATAAAATTCTTATAAAGCTATAATGCAGATTCAAATTGGAGTTATAGAAATTAGTTGATTATTTACTGTTTGATCTATTAAGCTTTTTTTCTTTTTCTCATTGCTGATATAAGTCATTAAATGATAGTTCTAATAACAAAAGTTTCATTTTTTTTTATTTTATGTTTGTTTTAGCCTATAATTTAACATGACATCTTGTTTCAGCTGACACAATTTACCATGTTTAAATATTTTCTAAAAAACAAATACATAAAAAGATACCCCCATATTATTATTACTCTTGCCCATAATTTTCAATTTTATTTTGCCAAATTTGACTTCCACATTTGAGGTTTGATATTTAAATAAATTGTGTCAGCTATTCATTGTAGGCCTTGTTTGATAAGATCATAATTGATTGCATTTCATTTTACTGTTTGTCTTTGTCTTTTTCTTGCTCAATTCAACTGATGTCTGTGCATTGTTTCGTAAAAGGATATGAGAAATCTCGAAGTTTAAACAACATAGCTGGCTTGGCTGGCAATGCTCTGAGGCTGTCTCCCGTTACATCACCTTACAGCTCACCTTGTCCTCTGAGACGTTCCCGATCTCCCATCCCATCTATCTTGTAGAACAGACTTCATCATCTGGAGAAATATAATTATCTTGTGTACTGTTTACTACTAATGGAACTAATTAATTGTAGCATTAACTTTAGGAACTTTTAATCAGACAGTACAAATACTTCATTATTTAAAATGGAGATGCCACTTTGTCAGCAGATGATTTCTTAATCTTTAAACTTATTTGACATAAGGAGTTTCTGCATAACTACTAATTGACCGTTTTTCTGTGGCAATAATAATAATTTAAAAAAAAAGAATAAATTGTGGAATAATCGGCCAGTATCTTTAATAATTATATATTTTCAGGGACATACAGTTATACCAATGTGCTTCCAAATGATAACCAACACTTCATTGAACGTTCATTTCTTGTGAGTTTCTGATCCATTCTGAAGATGTCTGGGATCCTGTGTTTACCGCTCGCAGTGTAACAGATCAGACCATTTGCTTGGGCCATTCTGTCTACAAATCATATCAACGCAATGTCGCAGATTACTGGGGCTGCCAAATAGCCTTGAATATACGCTTGGCATCGTATCACTCGCTAATCAATTGTTTGCCAGTAGGTTTTTTTTTTGTTTGTTTGTTTTCTTTCCTTATTTCAGTTGACATTTTTAGATTACTTTTGATATATTTTTTATACTGTACTAAAAATCTTGTAATAGAGTTCCGAATGTCTCTGGTTGTTTGCACACAGATAACTGCAAAGAGGTTGTCATTACTGGTTATACGCAAGCAGAGGCCAGATCTCTTTCATAATGGCTTGGGAAGGCACAATACATTTGAAAAGGTAAATGCCATCCAGGCTCACAATTCTAAACTAGCAGATATATTTTTTTTACACCAGGGTTCTTCAACATTTTCATAGGCAAAATTCTAAGAAATAAAGTCAAATAAAAACAAAAAATACTAATTTATTTTTTAATCCAAATAAAAGGGCCATGCTTCTTTGTATAGAGGGATTTTTTGACCAGCCTTAAACATCTGAATTTAAAAATGTTGCATATTTTTATCCAGCATTTTTTTTTACTTTTGTGTCATATATGTTCATGTTGAATCGTCTATTCAGTTGTTAAGATGTTTCATTCACCTTTTTTCAAACTGTGCCAGTGGACAGTAAATATCAGACTCCATTCTTTATTTTGTGTTTTGCTGTGTTTCATGTGCTTTAAGTATGGTTGATGAATTATGTAGAATCAAAACATTATTACCTGGATGTTACAACAGGTCTAAGAGTAATCTATGCCGACTTCAGCAGTGATGGATTTAACTCAGCTACCAGCAATCTGCATTATACTTGAAGTTCTATGACTGATCAGGAACAAATATATACAATATAACCGCAGACATGATGTTTTGGGCTGGTGATTAATAAAAAGGCTCAAAAATCCTATATACTAACCTTGAGATTGTTGAATAATCCCTGATTGTCTTTCGTCTGTTTATATTATCATCTATTTAGCACTGATAACTTATAAAGTCTTTGCAATTTAACTTTTACTGAACTATCCTAAATTAAAAGAAAGCATGAATTGCATGGCAAATTTAATAATTAAAAAAAAATATATATATATATTTCTGACATTTACTAATATATACGTGAATATATTACATTCTAAATATAAAAGGAAAAGTTTTAAACAAGGGATTAATATCATATTTGGTGCTGCTGTTATTAACTACAGTGTTATACGGAATTTATCATGGATTTGTGACTGCTGAAAAAGGGACAATGGAATTTAGCCATAACAAGGACTATACTGGAAAGACACTACTGCTGGTGAATGGGCCCTAATTTTAAGTCTTTCTCATGCTGCAAGGTAGTGAATGAGATTCGATGTCAAGCATAATCTGCAGTGCAACAATTATAGACTGAAGTGGTATCAGAGATGGTTATGAAAAGTCAGTGCTGGTAAATTACCTGTAAATAAATGTGAGCATGACACATTTGAAAATTTCATCTCTTTTGGGGATATGTTTGATTGTACGGTTATTATCAATTACTGTGCGTGTCTAATAATCCCATGTATTTTGGGTAACATCACTGTCCCTGTAGTACCATATAGTGTGCTGCAGATTGTATTGAAACAAACCACCTTAATATAGCATAACCTGTTTATGCAGATATTATTTATTTAATTTTTAGTTACACGTTCATCCCTGTGGGTTATTCCCAACACTTCTAGTAATCTCATGTTTACTAAGTGGTGCTATTTTAACAAAACATTTGTGACTTTGGTAGGCATAGTGAAGCCATTAGCATCTGAGTATTCTGATTCCGGAATCTCTCTTCTATGTAATACCACCACTTAGTACAAATTTAGCCATGTGTTGTAAGTCATGAGCTATGTGTATCGTTCTGAGATGTAGCATTGTAAAACATCATTATTTAAGTAAATGTTAAAGCGTTACTGCAGACAAATTGTACGTTGTTTGCAAATACTCATTTCTTCACTCATGTTTGTTAAAAATGAAACATGAAAGTATTACTATGATCAATAAAAATGACGGTGGCAAAACCTATTGTTAGTTTGTAATTAATGGCATTGGTTTCTCACTAGAAACAGAATCCAGCATAATAAATATTTGTTGTAAGATATTATGTATTTTACTTTTGCCAAGGATAGTTTTGTTTTTATTTGCATTGTGTTATAATAATGTGAACTGATATTGGTCTTTGTCAATGATAATGTACATTTCAGATCATAAAATAAAATATTTTTTTCTTTACTTAATAAATTGTTCTTCGTACTGTTCTGTTCTTTATCGGGCTACGTACAATATATGGTACCCTGTTTCATAATATTTTCAATCTCTAATCTGAACTTGTGTTACACTCTTTCATGACCAAATTGAATAGCTCAAGCAAGCACAAAACAGGAACTGGAAAGTGTGTTCTCAAAACATACAAACTGTGTATTACCAAAAAATAAATATCTAGTGAAAGTTACATATTTTGACTGTATTTTCACTGTTGCTCAGAATGATCACTGTGTGCTAGGTACTGTGTGACATATACAATATTAACACAGGACTAAAGGGACTTACAAAATGCAATCACACAATATTTTGCTGCAACTTAAAAAGGGTTTTTCAAACACTTTACTTAAATGTACCATAATATAGACTGTCAAAAAGAAAAGCTGTCTATGTGTTTTCATATATTGCAATTGTACTGAATCAATATAACCCTATATTTCAGTGAATTGAAGGGAAGGACAAGTCTAAAGCCCATTAATATAAGATGTAGAATTGGAGGATCATGTACAAAGAAAATTGCTCTCTGAAAATGTACAATATTTGTAAGAATATGATCTGCTCTTGATATTCATGTATTAGTGGCGCTCAAATTTCCTGTTGGATATACATAGTCGTTAAAAATGAGTTTTCAACCATCCTTGTTATGTTCAAGGAGGAAACATGCAAGAAAACATCATGTTATATATATAGTCTAATTTTAATTATTGAACAAACTGTTATGTTGGTATATATTACCGTAAAATGCATCTTAAATACTCCAGTCCCAACAATGACATAACCTAATTGAACCTGGACTGATGAGTTTAGAGCACAATAACACTATTCTTTTTGGCAAATTCATATTTTCTTATTGATTATAATGAATAACCCCCAAACAAACTGAATTATGTGAAAAATAAATTAGAAATAAATACAGCTTGGTGCAATTACAGTCTTTTACAATATATAGCATTATGTTTTCCCATCTCCTCTGACCAAAGTTTGTGTTCTCACCAAAGAGAAGCTGTTCATATAGCCTCATGCAATCTCTGCAGAGCTTAAAGTATTACTCCAAGCATCACAACAACTACAGCTGACTGTAGTGATTATGATTCCAAGAGAACACTGGCCTGGTTTTGTAATGATGTACCCCCTGGCCTTCTCCCTGACTGAGGATGAGATTCCAGCTTCTGCAGAGCAGGAGAAGACAGAAGGTGATGCATTTGTCATTCATTGGCTGAGTGCTCTCATCCAATGAATGTCATGCTGTGCAAAATGTTTTCCCATAATTGACATTAGTCAGCCCAGAACTCTTGTTCTGGACTGGCTGTTGGCATCCTATGATGCTGCTGGAGATGGAAAGTAGTTAAACTCAGCATGTGCAGTGTTTCACGTAATCACTGAAGTGGTCATGGCAGTAACACTTTTATAGTAGGAATTGTGCTCTTATTAATGTCATGTTCCTTTTTAGCTCTACCAACTTCCCACATTAGTTTAACGTCTCAATATATTGTTATTATCATTATATCATCTTTAATGTTAAGTTGGATGTTCTTTTCAAATGTGAACTACCTCTATATGTTAATGACATTCTTGCCCTTTTAAAGTAGTTTTCCCCTTTTGATGATTTCTACTATGATGGTTACATAATAATTAACTCAATACAAATATTTGCCTATAACACAGAAGGAAAAAACAAACAAAAATGCCATCATAACAGAATGTTATTCCTGCATAGGTGGCCCATTAATAATAGTTATACTTTATTTTAAAAGTGCAAGCACATTCCTCAGTGCTGTCCATAGGTACAATTGGTACAAGTAAAAACTAGAGCTATACTAGCTGGTGTAAGTAAAGGAACCAAACATGTTATTCTAAACAACAAAACACAAATATACAGAATAAAGTCTGGAGGACAGAACACTCCCCGCTTGACGTTATGTGACGTCACTGACAGAGTCTTCTGCAGAAAACAACAGAACAAGTTCAGCCACTGGTCTTAAAAATACTTTGGCCTCATTCTGCTGGAAGATCTTGACTTCGACTTTACGGATTCACTTATCCTCGCTTGGCAGTACTCTGGTGATCAGACTTAACGGCCACTCATTCCTTGGTGCCTGGCAATCTCCCATGAGTACAACATCAGTAAAAAGCGGATCCATGCTAAGTCTGTCAGATGGTAAATTGGCCATTTTTTGTGTCTGTAACGTTTCAAAAAGTTAAGATAACCCACCTGAAAAGGAACTTGCTCACTCATCTCTTAGCTCCAACTTTCCACAGTCCAGCAGCTCATAAAGCTACTTCAATACAGTCGGCCCTGGTGTTTGGTTTGGTCATGGTAGTGTTGGATAAGTAAGTAGGCAATGTGGTGGTGGCCTGGGATCACTAAAGGATGTTTCTCTGAAAACTCTAACTTGCCTTCTTTTAAATGACGCTCCAACTCTAGCAGAGTATCTGAGACCGTAAATAGCAACCGCAGGGGAAGGACTGTTGCCAAATATGTGCACCCTCATGCGGTATTCTGCGATGTCTCAGAAGAGTTATTGTCTCTGAACCAAAGGAATCTTAGAAAGTTTCGTGTTCTTCTTTAACAAGAAAGCAATGGAACATTTGTTGTATGTCTGCCATGAATGCGACTGAATCTTTGTGGAAGCGGAGGAGTACTCCTAACAGTTTGTTGTTAAGGTCAGGGCCCAGAGAGAAGGACATGAGCTTGGCGCTGGATTCAAACACTACTCTGATCTGCCCTGGTTTCTTAGGGTGATAGACTCCAAATATGGGTAAATACCAACATTCTTCAGAGTCTTTGAGGTTTGGGGCTATCTCAGCATGGCCATTCTGAAATATTTTTTCCATGAAGGAAAAGAAATGTTCACTCATCTCCAGTTTTCTTTGAAGATTGTGTCTTAGAGAAGTGAAGCGCTTATATACTTGCTCCCTGTTGTTATGCAAACGTCGTCTTTGTGGCCTAAAGAGAAGAGGTGCAACCCAGCACCTTGTCCTCCTTTGCTCTCCTGAACACTGTGCATCTTAAGTCATCTTGGTCCTCGTCATAGATATTGCTGTCACAGGGGGAATTTAGGAAAGGAAGAGGTTCAGGGTTGCTGTGTGGTAGCTCCTTAATGAGGATGTGATTTTGGCAGAGCTGGAAAAGAGAAGGACGACCATTCTCTAGGGTACTAGTGAGTAAGTTATTAACAGATGCCAGTTTGTGTGCGCTCCCCAGGCAAACATCACCTATAATGACACACCCAGGATCGAGTTTTTGGGCATATGAGGCGTTGTGGGGACCATTAATCTGCTTTCTTGCTTTGTGGGCTTGCAGGATATCCCTCCCTAGGAATAAGATTAGCTGAGCCTGATCATCTAGTTCTGGTATGAGATGTGCTATGCGATTCAGGTGAGTCTGGTGTGGAGATCTCAGATCTGTTGTCTGGGATCTGATTGCACTCTATTATGGTTGGTAAGGGTAGGCATGTCTTACCATCCATAGACTCAATTTGTAGGCAGTCAGCCGTCTCCACCGTACCTACACAGGTCCTAAGGGAGTAAGGACTGCTGGGGCCCTTAATGTTCAGAATGTCAAAAAACGCAGACCTAGCTAGTGACTGGTTACTCTGATCATCCAAGATGGCGTAGAGCTTGACTGTGTTATCTCTGCGTCCTTTTGGGTAAACTTTTACTAGACAGATTTTGGAGCCTGTAATTCCTTTGCAGACTTCGGTGCACTGTGAAACGATTGCTATTGCATCTGTACTAGAGTCTTTGGCCTCCCAGCAGGGGCGTACCTAGAGCATTTGGCACCCGGGGCGGATCCTGTGCTTGGCACCCCGCCCCCCCACCCCACCCCCCAAAAAATTAAAAAAACGGTAAAAAATGTTAAAGGTTTTCTTTAATTAATCCACACTCCTTAATTAAACCATACCCCTTAATTAATCCATACCCCTTAATTAATCCACACTAATTCATCCACCCCCCTTAATTGATACACACACCCTTAATTAATCCACACTAATTAATCCACCCCCTTAATTAATCCACTCCCCCATAATTAATCCACACATAATTAATACACCCCCATAATTAATCCATAATCCCACCCATAATTAATCCACCCCCATAATTAATACACCCCCATAATTAATACACCCCCATAATTAATATACACACCCCCATAATTAATACTCCCCCATAATTAATACACCCCCATAATTAATATACACCCCCATAATTAATATACACCCCCCATAATACACCCCCCATAATTATACACCCCCATTATTAATACACCCCCATAATTAATACACCCCCTCCTTTCTCTCACCCCCCTCCTAATTTCTCTCTCATCCCCCCTTTCTCTTTCTCACCCTCTTTCTCTCACCCCCTTCTCTTTCTCACCTTTCTTTTCTCACCCTCTTTCTCTCCCCTCATTTATCTTTCTCACCCCCTTTCTCCTCTCTCCCCCCCTCTTTATCACCCCCTTTTCTCCTCTCTCACCCCCCCTCTTTTATCACCCCCTTTTCTCCTCTCTCACCCCCCTCTTTATCCACCCCTTTCTCCTCCCCACCTTTGCTGTAGCGTGGCCGAGCCCTATATAGTCGGCTGGTACAGGTAGCTTTTGTTTCCTGTACCCGGCTGGACTAACAGGAAGTGCACACACTGTGCTACCACGCTACTACAGAGGGAGTGACAGGAGGGAGCGCTTCCCTCCTGTCAGCCTCTCCTCACTCTGCGCCCGGGCGGTGCGGTCCGCCCTCATGGACGCACCGCCCGGGCAAAGCTGCAGCCGCCCGAGGCTCTCTGCAGAGCGCTCGGGCGGCTGCAGCATGGGGGGGGCGGCGGGGCTGGCCATGGCACCCCCTACCCTGCTGGCACCCGGGGCGGACCGCCCCCTCCGCCCCCCCCTTAGTACGCCACTGCCTCCCAGCTTTGTTACTATGGGCAGGTGGGACGGTTCTTGGAGCTGGCCCTAGGTGCAGCGCTGTGTTATGATCTGTGCTGTTGCACTCTCTACACTTGACATGGACCTTACAGTCCTTGGCAAAGTGTGTTGATGAGGAGCAGCACTTGTAACAGATGTTGCTCTCCTTGAGGAAGGCTTTGCG